ACTTTTTCTCCTGCCATGTAACAAGAATCCCTTCCGGGGTCAACCATCTAAAATTGATATTTTTTCTCGTCAATTTAAGAGTTATTTGTTGGTAGGGCCTTCTCAAATCTCTCACTCTTTTAGGTACTTGTTTGAGTACAATCAGTTGTCTACCTCGGTACTCCAGTGAGTCATCTCTGGCCCTGATTTAGTCTCTGATTGATTTCTTAATAAATTTAACGTGTACTTCTCTGGGAAGATTGTGCCGTCTTGCATAGTTCATATGGATTCTGTAAGTTTTATCTATCTCGCTGGCCATCTCTTCTCTGCTAGACCCCAAGGCCCCCTTTAGTATATCTGTCATTATTACTGGAAAGTCTTCACCTTTCATCTCACATACATTTTGGAACCGTAAATAATGAGCGGCTTTCTCAAGTTCCAGGGAAATAACTGTAGATTCTAATTCTTTGTTAGCCTGAACTAAACTCTCATTCATTTCATCTACTCTCTGCTCTTCTTTATCCATCCTTTCCTCTATTTCTAATAATTTTTGTTCAGTTTTCATCATCTGCTAAAGGAAAGATTTGAATTTCCCATCCATTGACTTAATTTTATCCTTAAGTTCCCCTGTATCATTCCTTACTTCTCCTATTTCTTTTTTTAGATCTTCATGATTTTTGCACATCATCTCTTGCATTGCTTGCAACATTTGTTGCAAGTCTCTAAATGAGTTCGTCCTATCTCTTTGAGTCATTTCTTCTAGCGATCTTTCTCTGGCAGGGCTTGGTTCCAACAATGTAGTCTGTGTTGTTTGTTTCCTCCCTATTCCAACCCTTGTAAGATTGGGGATACTAGACATTTTTTTTCAATTCTCCAAACCAACCTCCCCACTTATTTACAGTTTTTGTAATATTTTCCAGAATATCAGAATTATCACTTAAAGTCAAAAGTTTCTGCACAGATAACTACTTGACATTTACAGGTGAGACTGGATACACTCAACAATCACTTTCCTCCCCCCCCCTCTTGTGGCTATTCTCAGTTCAGCCAGCAGGTGTCTCTTTGGCTCTGTCTCTGATATTCAATCTGTCTGTTTATTTCAAAATGTCTACCTCCTTAGTTTCTTCCAGGCTTTCACTCTGTGACTTGCAGCAAGCTTGCCTTTCAAAGTTAAACTTTCCTTCCTTGAAATAAAGAAAGAAAAAAGAGACTCCTCCTTAAGTCCAACCAACGTAATGTTTCCGCTGTATAGGCAGACTTTTTAAGCCCAAATCTTCCTTTTCACCGCTTTTTCAGAAGCGAGGGAAAATCTCTCCTCCCCTCTTGTGGGCATTCAAAATTTTTAAGTTTCTCTCGAAATCCTCCGGAGCGTTCTTACACTGGATCCCTTCTGTCCAGTTGTCAGGATCACTGTTCAGATTACATTTGACTAGAGCTGTCACTTCTCCATCCAGCTATGCCACCGCTACACTTCAGCCAGCTGGCAGATGTCATTTCTTCACGGCTGCCATTGATGGCTGTCTTCTTCCTCCGCTCAACTTACCAAGGCTTCCCCCGAGTTCGCCAGTCCCAACCGCCGTCAGGGACCACTCCCCAGGACACCTTATTGTTCCCGGTCCCCCTCCAAGGAACCAGGGACCTCAAAAGGTCTGTCAAGCGATCGGAAACGAGGGCAGACGCTCCGGAGAGTCGTCTAGCACACCCGTTCTTCTTGACAGCTGGCCCCGCCCCCCTCTCCATGTCAATTTCAAAGGGTTATGGTCTGCCCATGTGCCTGTTTCAATCTCAATTTCCTATATATTCAACCTCAATTCAGATGTCATCCAAATCATATCAATTCTTGACCAGGATTTTTGACTATTTGAATAAAAAGTATATTGTAGTTTTTCTGGATTGATTTCCCTCCAAATATCTTTTATTCCAATTTCATCTGTCATATTAAAGAATGTCTTAAGTAATCTTCTTCCAGTTTTCCCTATTTTACTGTTTTTATAGTCAATTGTCCCATCTACTATCACATTAAAGTCTCCTACTAAACAAATATTTTGATACTCCATTTTCTATGGAGGCTCTGATAGAATTCAATTTTTAAATGTTATTTTAAAAATTCTCCCCTCTAAAAGCTCGCCGCTTTTAGATCGTAGTCTGTTTGGCAGATCACCACTGCTCCTCACTTTCCTTCTGGCTGGAGATGACTTGGGCTGCCTTGACTCACCTGGCAGCCTTTCCTCCGTCTATTCAGAGTATCCCATCTTCAGTCCGCTCCCGTCGGCCGCCACCTGATCCAAGTTCCTGGAGAGTCCCTTCTTCTTTGTTGCCCCTCCAGGGGCAACCCTTTCTGGGTCGCTGGGCAAAGTGAAATCAGACTGAGTAGTCAGAGCCCTGACTTCTTCCACCCATCCTGCCGGCGACCAAAACCAGAGGTTTTTCCACATTTCTCTTATTCGCCTGGGCTTTAAAGTTAAATTTTAGAGGTACTCACCGTCACCTTCTTTCCAAGCAGCTCTTGAGCTCAAACCCAAAACGCCCTTTACTACCCTGGCTCCACATGGGCAGGGCCTGGGAAACCCACCCACAGACCACAAGGGGTCTGCTGCCAGCAAGATGGGGCTTACCAGTTCTTCATATGTTTTAGTCTCCAGGCCTTTAATCATCTTAGTTGCTCTTCTTTGTACTTTTTCCAAATTCTCAGCATCTTTTTTATGATGTGACCAAAATTGGCTGAAGTATTCCAGGTGTGGCCTTAATAAGGCATTATAAGACGGTACTAATGCTTCAAATGATTTTTGATTCTATGCCTGTTTATACAACCAAGGATTATGTTAGCTTTTTTGGCTGCTGCTGCACACTGCTGACTCATATTTAAGTGATCGTCCTCTAGGACAGGGCTTTTCAACCTTTTCACAGATTGTACCACTTTTAGGGCATGACAATATTTGAGTACCACCAGTGCTTCGCAAGGTGTCAAAAAGGGGGAGGGTATTTTGGGTTTCACTGATTAGATTCATTTGTTGTTATAGAAATGGCTAGTTTATAATATGGAAAAGTAAAAAGTTGAGGTTCAATGTTAATGCTCCCTTCTACTGCAACAGAGGGAGTATGTTCTTTTTCCCCTTTCCCCCCCTTTTTCCTCCTCACTGTGTCCTACTATTTGCTTTTGTATTTTTGTATTTTATTCTGTAATCTAATAAAATATTACAAACTGTAGAAAAAAAGAAAAGAAGTACCAGTTTTAATTTCTTCAGTGGCTGTTCCTTTGCTGAATCACTTTCCCTTTGCATTGACAAAGGATGATGAATTCAAACTTGGCACTTTTATGACTTGTAGACTTCAACTCCCAGAATTCGTCAGCCCTCATGGCTGGTTGAGGAATTCTGGGAGTTGAAGTCCACAGGTCTTAAAGTTGCTAAGTTTGTAGACTCCTGAGCTAGCTAGAGCTAGCTCTTCTGAGCTTTTCCAATCCCTTCCCTGTACCCTTAAAGACACAGGAATCAAATGCAAAGCAAGAACATAAAGAAACACAAACTCCAGGTTTTTTTTCTCTTTAAGCTGCCTCAGGGGCTTCACATGTCACAATGTTGCAATCCTTGACTGAAAGGCTCGGGCAATTGTAAAAAGCTTTAGCTTTAAATTAAGGCTGTTTACCTTCAAAGAAAATTTTCTAAAAGCCACAGACAGACTCAATTAAAGGGGGTAAAACTAATTACATTTGTTTAAAGGAATTAAACCTTTCCTAATGTCTTTTTCCCCCTTCCCCCACCCAAACCACATTCTTTTATAGTCTCTCCTCTCCCCCCTTTTCTGTTCGTTATTCCTGCCAGCTTAGTGTCATTTGCAAATTTGATGAGTTCCCCTTCTATTCACTCATCTAAGTTATGAAGATATTGAAGAGTACTGAGCCTAAGACAGAATCTTGTCGTATGCCACTGCTTACTGCCTTTCATGTAGACAGCACCATTAAGGACTTCTTGAGTATGGTTTGTCAGCCAGTTACAAATCTGTCTGGTTGGTCTGCTTGCTTCTTGGTAAGCTAGAAAAATGTCTACCCCACATTTTTCTAGCTTACCAAGAAGCAGGCTGTGATCTACTTTGTTGAATGCCTTGCTGAAATCTAAGTATACTATTTTCACAGCATTTTGCTGATCTACTAATATAATCACTTTGACAAAGAATGAAATAAAGTTATTTTGGCATGATTTGTTTTTAACAAATCCGTACTGGCTTTTAGTTATAACTTTATTTATTTCTAGGTGTTTGCAGATCTGTTTTTTATTATCTTTTCCAGTATCTTCCCAGGTATTGATGTTAGGCTGATCGGTCTGTAGTTTCCCGAGTCTCTTTTTTTTCTTTTTTTGATGATGGGAACCACATCAACTCTTTTCCAATCCTCAGTAATTCCCTGGTATTCCAGGATTTTTAAAAGATATGGTGCAACAGTTCTGACTTCTGAGATAACATCTGCCAGCTCCTTCAGAACTCTGGGATATAATCCATCAGGTCCTGGCAATTTATATTCATTAAGATCAGATAGGTATTCTCTAACCATTTTCTTGCTTATTTTAATTTTTATTTGTAGTCTGTCTTTTACAGTTAGGTTTTTGGTAGGTTGGGCTATAGTTTCTGCATGAAGATTGATACAAAGAATGAGTTAAGCAGTTCTGCTTTCTCTCTGCTGCCTATTATTTATATGTTGAAATAATATAAATAACAAAAAAGTCAAGGAAACAGTAGCACTTAAAAGAGAAGATGGTAAGGAAGTAAGAGGCAGCAGAAAGAAAGCAGAACTGCTTAATTCATTTGACTTTGTTGCAAGCCTCTTTCATTCTGAGCCTTTGCTTTCCTGACTTCATCTTTGCAGACTTGGGCTATCTGCTGATACTCTGCCTTAGTCATGTGTCCCTCTTTCCATTTTTTGTACTTGTCCTTTTTGTTTTTCAGGCAAGATTGGCCAAGTGCTGCTACACACAAGGATTTGTTTGCTTATGCAATTTTTTACATTTACATAATTTAATTTTTTGCAGGATGGATAATTGTACTTTTCCAAGATACAGTGACAATGACATTGTGGTACACATTCGCAACTCTTTATTGAGTGGAAATGAAGCTAAAATTTTTTCAAAGAGTGATTTATTTCCGAACGTAAAGGTAAGAGTTTTATATTCAGTGGAATTGGAACTCAAAACTGTAGTCTATGCATTGCATGTAAGGGTTTTTTTTTATGTCTTCAAGTCAGATTTTACTCCTGGCTTGAAGTTTTATTGGCAAGGTTTTTTGGAGGTTGTTTGCCATTGTCTACTGCCTAGGATGAGAGAAAGACACTGGTCCTGTTGGCTTTGTGCCTAAAACTTATGGTCTTGTTTCTTCAATCTTCTGGAAAAATGAAACACTAGAAAGACTAATTTTTGAGATTCAACAGATATGTTAACAGATATTAGTGAAATCTCTTATTAATGCTGTCTCTCCAAGAAAGTTCTACAATCTAATTTAGAAGGGAATGGTATCTATTAACAAATCATCTTGGTTTAGCATTCTGTAATTCGCCTACGTCATCCCTAGTAATAGAATTTGTATTTCTCTTTCTTATCCAAATGCTCTTCACTGAACCATTGTGTTAAGATTCCTGGATCTTTAAACATGTGTTTATGTATTTCACATACATCACCATTGTTCCCCTATGTCTGGCCTATTTGTTATACCCTTCAATGCTTGCATGCTAGTCTTGCATTTCAACCCACCAAATTTTAGTGACTATTAAATCATATTTCCCTCCTGCATTAAAACTTTCAGTTCCTGCTTCTTCCTATACGCCATGCATTTCTAAAGAATCACTGGGAAACTTAGGTCTGACTCTTTAGGTCCAGTGACAATTATCCCTTTATTTTCATATGGATCAGTAGAAAGGGGTAGTTGTCAGTGGAGTTAAAGAATCAGAAGCCTTTTGGACATTTGGACATTTTTTGACATCCATTGGGTTGAATGATTTCTGCTTTATCACCACAACATAGTCCTTAATAGATGTTCAGTAAGATTCACACTGCATCATCTCCAGCATTTCAGGCTTCTCTTCACCTGCTTCATCTCCCTCAACTATTCTATAAATCAGGAAGACTTCCAAGATCCTTGAGTTAGGTGAGGCTACAGGTGTGATCCAATCAAGATTTTCTGCAACCCTCTTATTCCAGGTAGACCCCGGATCCTCAGTTGGATTCAGCAGCATATCCTCAGAGACAATTCCAAGCTTACTCTGGAGCCCAAAGGTGTACATCAGTTGCCTGGGTTGGACCAATCTAATAGATCCTGTCTACCTGCAGTGGAGGACAGTGCCAGAGAACTACAATATTCATCAGTTAACAGTCTAGCCACCAGACGTTAAACTTGATATGAGTTATGATTATATGAGATGAAAAAGGAGGTTAGGCTACTGGATCCAATGTAAGTTTTCTTTGTCATCTCCTCTGCTTTTCATGAATCTACTATTTTATCTCCTTTTTTTGCAATGTCTTTTCTTGTGAATAGTCAAAACCTGTTTTTGTCACAAAGACTTGAAAACTTCCTCAGTTTTTGGTACATAATTCTACATCTCTTGCTTTTGATTGTCAGTTCCATTTACTGTATTTGCTCTTTTTTTGTCTACTTATAGCCAATTGCTTCCTCTGTACACTTTTTAGAACTACCTCCTTTTTGATATGTAAATCTTCATCTTTCATTAATGAAGTGCTGCTAATGAGTCATCAATTTTTCCTTCCAAGAATCACAAGTATGACATATTATGACTATAATGATCTTACTTTTCTTCATTGGCTCTAACACTCAAAGCTTTAATTTTTTTCTTGTTTACTTCTCAGAAATCCATATTCTTCACTTAGAAGGAAAATTTGTTAGAGAATTCTTTTATCAAACTTCATTGGCAAACACCCTTTTGCTCTCCCTGTTCTTTTGTCCAATGAGCCCACTCTCTGGAACCTACCTGTAGGAGGAATATTATTAAAAATAATTAATTTCTACTAATTAATTTTCTAATTATAGAAAACAGTTACTCAGTGACTTATAGTGGGCAATCAGCAGTTATTTAGAATATGCCCTTTCTATCCTGAACAGTTGAACCTTAGAGTTGCCAAACATTCTCCTTTCTTCCTTGTGTTAAAATGGCATTTCTCACAACAATAATCTTGTGAAGTAGATTGAACTAAGAATGACTGGCCTTAAGTCACCAACTGAGCTTGCAATATTGAGGGATGGCTTTGAATGGGTCTTCTCAATGCTATGTCTTACATTCTAAATACAGTACAATGCCTAAACCTGACTTGATAGACATGTAAAGTAATTTTCAGCTTCTTAAGTGAAAGCATATTCCAGTCTGTTAAAAAAAAATGTGGAATGTTATATTTACATTTGTTGTAAGTTTAAGTTTTTTTTTCATCAGCTACACAATTAGACGTGAAGAAGATTTAGGAATATTTTATTTGCCCACAGGGTTAATTTTGTAACCAGGAATGATGTCAAAATGCACCCTTAATATGCATTAACGTATTTTAAGTTTTTGCCTTGAACTTATCTTGAACTTTGCAGAGTTCTCACTCTGGTAATTATAAGCAAATTAAATAGGTTCTAAGTAAAATAAAATTTATATATTATTGTAAATTGTGTTAAATTGTACTTCTCTTTTTAGCCTGAAATATTGCATATGATTTTCATGAGAGCTTTGCAAAGTGTATATGGAATCCGTATGGAACATTTTTACATGGTAAGAATGGGGAATGCATTGAAACTGGAAGGAGGTGGAATCTTAGTAGTTCCCTATATTGTTTTACTTTGCCTTTGAAGATTAACAGATTTATTGTATTTATTGTTGTCTTAAGATTGACAGTACACAAAATCTTTGATCTTTAAGCTGCTACCTTGATTTTTGTTTATTGCAATAAATTAATAGCTCCTTATCTGGCAATCATAATCTACAGTTTGTGGAGATGGAAAAAAACATTATTTTGGGCAAGTATGCTTCATATAGTAGTTCATAGTCTCCTAGGTCACAAAATGGGTGGCAAATAATTATATGTGTGTGTGTGTGTGTATTAATAATATATATACTAATATATATAGTATTTGGAAGCAGAGAACTACAAGTTTTGCCTGTCTTAGTTATCCAAGATAAATGTGGTTCCATGTACCTTCTCTCTGCCTGATTGTTCTTTTTTTCATAGTAAATGAGATAGAGCCAAAGCACTTCATTGGATTATTCAACATGAAATTGTTTTGTATACTGTTCTGGAGTAATGACAGCTTTATTTATGCTGGGTTTAAACATCACAGGAACCCAAGAATTTCTTAAAGGTGGTTTTAAACCCATTGTTGTAATCTAGTTTACACATTGCACTAAACTGAAAGCAAATAAAAAGCATGAGTCATTAGTGATTATTATTTCACAGGTGGTAGGCGTATACCCTGACTAGTAACAACTTCCCAGAATTTTTCTAGAGTGTTTTCCAAAGTTTGGTTCCTTTGAGAATATGCTGTTTCTACATACAATATTTTGTCTGTTAAAATTTTATATTCAGAGCATAGAACATTCACCAGTTAATGATAGGGGTATCTAATTAATCTATAGATATATAGTTAAAATATAAATGAAGAATCTAGACAATGTGGTGACTTTTTAGATTCCTCATGACTAGGTGAAGATTTGTATCATTTACTAAAAACGGAAAAATTATCACACTCTAGTTCTATACCCTTCTGAAGATGGATTATACCAGTATCTATGCAGTTAATTATTGTAAAATTACAGTGTTCTGGAATTAAGTCCTGAAGCTTATTGTAGGGGTACACAGTCCTGTGAAAATGTGGACTGTGATATCCCACCATATATAGATAGCTTGCTATAAATGAATGTTATATTATCAGAGGAACTGGATGAAAAAAATATATATTTCATTAGTTATTCCTTATTGATTTTCTTCAATTAGATGCCAGTGACATTTGAAACAGCATATCCTCAGATTTTTGAAGGCTTTCTACCCATAGGAAATCTATTTATTAATATGTAAGTATCCTGAAATCATGTTTTATATTTGCTTTTCTTTGTGGCTTAGTTTTGTTTGTATGAATTTGAATGTGGGAGTGTGTTTCTCTGCTGTTAAAAATGTATTAAATTAGATGGTTCTTTTATTGTGGTAATAAAAGTATAAATAATTCATTTTGTGTTCAGTGAAATTGATCATATTATTTTTAGAGCTATATACTGCTTTAGATTTTAAAGTAAAAATGTATCCCAGATTATGCAACAGTATTTCCCTGGTACACCTTAAACCAAATGAATATTTCTGGAATCATGTGATTGCTTTAACTGGTCTGAAATGCAGCATTGCCTTTCTATTATGTAATTATACATGCTGATAGAACTTACTGACCCCAAGGATTCATTTTCTTTTTGGTGCTGTACTGCTTTACAAAGGTAGCTTTGTTCAAGCAAACACCTGAGAACTGATGGAAGACTTCAAAAAAAAAAAAATCTATAATTTTAACATGTAACTTGTCCTGCAGTATTACAGTGAAATTAATATATATTTATCCTAGACTGTTTCTGCTTTAAATTTTAAAAACTAACTCATCTAATTCAAAGGAAATATTACAATAGTAGGACTCTGCAGCACTATTCTGTAACATTTAAGACTCCAGTTATAGTTGTTTCCTTTATTATCTCCCTATACAATATAATACCAAGGAAACAATTATACTATGAATTACAGTGGTGAAGTAAATAGTATGACTAATCTAATTAAAGAATATGTAAAATTTTTTACAGGGAGCGATTTCTCCCGATCTGTCGTGTCAATGACTTCCAGATTGCAGACATTATAAATCCAAGTAAGCATTAAACACTTTTTTGGTTTGTGTATGCTTCATAGCTCAAATGGTCATATATTTTTACTTACCCCAAACTGGCTCACTAGATTTTATTTTTTTTATTTTTTATAGTTAAGTTTACATTTCAGTATTTTCTCAAGAGCAATGGTTAGTAAAATCATTTGGAAATTTATCAGGTTAGCATGCTGCCAAACTGCAGGTATGATTGCATGATCTGTCTGACTTACAGGACTGTCACTTCTCCTATAATGGAGGAGTCCAGTTATGTGGAAGAAATAGTTATGCTTCAGTAAGAAGAAACAGCTCCATTTGTATTTTCTCCTTCAGTTGCATCTATTTAATCTTTGGAATAATTAAGAAGAAACACCCATAGGAATTTATTTTTATTCGTAGGATACTTTTCAATTCAAATAAGCACATAAAACAGTGAAGCATGTATACTAAAATATTAATAATAAAATTATTGACCATTATAGGGAGATACTAGTGGTTAAGGCACCAGGCTAGAAAATGGCAGACTTGGTTCAAATCCCACCTTAACCATGAAAGCCACCTGGATGACTTTAGGCCAGTCACTCTCTCTTAGCCCAATCTACCTCACAGGGTTGTTGTGGGGAAAATAGGAGGAAGGAGTATTAGGTATATCCGTTGCTTTGAGTTATTTGTAAGCATAATAAAGGCAGGGTACAAATAAATAAATGCAGAAAAATGAAATAGATACCTTTACAAATTTTCCTAATTTAGATTGGAAGGAAATACATTCTATAGCCTGCAAAAAAACAACAATTTCTTCTTTATACCTTAATATCTGAACAGATTTGGAATCTATGAAATAAGATAGTTTAATAGCAATGTCTTAAATTGTTCTCAGGAAGTAAATTAGGAACATATTTTTCAGCCTAAACCACATATTTTCCCAGATATCTCTACCAAATTGCAACCTAGCTCTTATATTTTGCATCAGTTGCAGTTTCTGGACACTTTTCAAAATGTAGTCCTTCACCAAACACGTTGCAGTAGTCTAGAAGGAATGTGACCATGCCCAAGCATAAGTTATTGGGGCCAACATAAGCATCTCATGCTCTATCTCAGAGGTCCCCAACCTATGGGCCGCAGCCCACTACCATGCCATGGCCTCCGGGCCACGTGAGTAACTGAGCAGTGCACTTGCATGTGTGTGTGCTTACCCTCCCTCGTGTCACTGCTGCCTCGAGTGTTGTGCAGGAGGTGGCAGTGCCACTAATATTGCTCAGGCAGCGGTGTTGCCATGAACCTTGCCCAGGGGGCAGCAATGCCATGAGCAGCAGTGGGCAGAGGCACGCCACACACAGGTGACGGCATTGCCACTGCTGAAGGAAAAGTCTTCATTAGGGTCCAGTCCAAGCCGGGAATAAACAACATGGCGACTGCTTTAGAAAGAAGGTTGTAGTTTATTGAAGAGGAGAGCCAGACAGAAAGATGGCTCTGGAAGAAAAGAGAGAGAGAGAGCACATGTAGGGAGTGGGTTTTTATACCTCTGGGGCTCTTGAGGTTGTTTCCTGTTCCTGTTTGAGGCTTTGTATTTCCTGTGTTTGGGTGAGGTATGTAGATTTTAGGTCTTTGTCTTCCTAAGCTTCTAGCTGGAGGACTCCAACCTTCCTGCATGGGGAAGGGAGACTTGGGGCTATTTAAAAAAACTGGGCATGCTTTTCTGCGTCTTTAAGTTCCTTTGAGGAAATATAATATTCTGCCTTTTAATATTTCCTTCTCTGGGGGAGCTGACTTCCCACAAATCCCCCCTTTGTACCATAATAGTGTGGATAACACCCTTTTACTGGCACAAAATTAAAATTCTTGTGGTCAGAGAGACTTGATAAACAAGCTGTCATCGTTCCGACAGATGAAACTCTTCAAAGAACTTCGAGGCATTATTTACCTTAAGGAATCTTTATTCGAGTAGCAATACATCGGCACATACATAGTGCAAGCTAAAATCTGGCTTCCCCTCCCCTAAACACATAGTATCAAAGTACAATTCCCTCTTCCAACTAACAGTCATAAATCACATTTTCTAATTAGTTTGAAATGCTGGCTTTCCCACCAGTTCTACAATCTGCCATGTCTTATCGTCTCTTATTACAAAGAACCTTGGTTCCCACCATTATAGATTATTGTTTTGTCTAACTAAACTCCCAACCACATTCCCTCCCCTCAGTATCATCTAATTCTACCTCTAAAACATAAAGGAAAATGGCTGCATCTCCATATATTGTCAAAGCAAGAACGTTCTATGTTAGCAGCTTTGACACAAGCTTTTAAACTGTTAATGCAAAAAAAAGGGAAGATACTAATTGAAGCAGCAGAAAAAGATCCTTGCAGTGGCTCCCAAAAGGGGAGCCTTTCAGCTATGAAGGTCTAAAGCCAGGGCAAAAGTTCTTTTAGGTGGAAAAGAAATGTATAATTTCCAATATTCTGTGACAATTATTTTCAAATGTTGGATGTCACTTTGAGCTCTCAGTCAAGTTTGCACATTCCTCCCAAAATTCTTCACAGCCATGTTTTGCCTCAATACATAATCACTGTGTCAAGGTTCCGACTAATGAAACACTTCAAAGAACTTCCCGGCATTGTTTATCCTAAAAGCCTTTAATAACAGATTGTCGGCACATCATGGATGGATGCCAAGATCTGAAGTCTCCACCTCCAGAGCAGTTATTTTTGCTAGCATTTTCCCTCCCTCTTTTGCTGTCATGAGTTACGTTCTCCAACCAGCCTGGGGGGCAAAGGTTCACTTCCTTCTGAAGCCCCTGCAAATTGTTCTCTCTCTCCAGTCTCATCTGAGTTAACTCTAAAAGTGCCAGACAGTTCTTGTCAGAATCCAATTATATTTCATCTTTAGTTATCAAATATAGAAAACCCCAATTCTGCCTTCTCTGGATTCTGCCATAAGAAGGAGAGAAGGGGGAGAACAAAGGGGCTTTATGGCCCTCACTTCCTTCAGTATACTTCTAAGGAACTGAATGTGTGTATTGCAAAAGAACTAACCATAAGAATGGGGCCGTTTTCCTTTCATGTAGTTTCTTTGAAGTCTCCATCCAGCCGGGCAGTAATGAAAAGGGGGTGGAAGTGTAATGCCTGAGACTGTCGCTGAAAGAGGGGGTTGATTGGGTGGGGCTACTGGGGAAACCCTTAAAACCTTGAATTGGAGAGCTTGGACCCCAAGTCCTGTCTAGAACGCCTGCAACCATTTTCTCTTAATAAAGGATTCCTGTTGGAAGAATTATTCCAAGAGTTCTGTCTTCTTAAGATGCAAAGTGGGGTGGGTCCTTACAGTTCTGCATATTTTGTGAAAGCAAGAATATTCAGTATTAGCAGCGTTGACACACTGGCTGCCCATTTTCAAGGGTTGTTTCCTGTTTTAGCTCTTAGTTCAGTGCATCCAGTTTTCTGATGTCCAATTGAGGTTAGCCAGTGTGCAAGCCAATCTATTAATTTTTTAAAAATTGCACACAGTCAGCCCTAGGACTTCCACTCTGAGTCCACCAGTGCAAGATATTCAGGGCTTGGGTTTTGGAAATCTCTTTTCTGCTCCCTCCTTAGTGAGAGCATATGAATTGCAAATCACCTGAGGGGGCCTGATTTCCTCCTCCTTTGAATTTGCAGCAAGTTGTGCATGCAAAGCTTTGGTTCCACAGAGCAAAAAATCAGCCTGGAGAACTTAACTGAAGGTAGGTGAAAGGGATAGACTCAGTGTGATTATGAAGTGTGTGTGTGTGCAGCTACTAATACAAAACAGGCAATACAAACATTTTGGACAAATTTCCCTCCCACCAGACATAAGTCCAAGGTTGTAACGATGCTAAGAAAAAGACTCAGGCATGTCTTGGGCAGAAGTTTGAAGCTGCATGACACATCTTCACACAGCTTGACAAACTCTGAGTTTATTGTTTCTTATATACTTTTTACATACATAGGCTTTTCCATTAACTGCTGACATTTTACATTTAGAAGTTTAATCTTTAGTTGTTGACATAAAGTAATTGAAAAATTCCTTCATATAAGCAATTATTTTCTAGTAACACATTACCTGTTGAGAGCAGGTAAAATAAATATAGGTAAATTAGGAAAGGAGAAAGAACTGATAAAGACAAGAAGAGATAAAGACAGGAAGAGATAAGGGGGAACTTATTATTTAGGTAGGTAAGATATTAAGTCAAAAGGGGGTGATCTTTTGGCTACTTCCTTGGGACAAAGGGTATCAAAAGGTTATGAGGTTTGTGGGGAGCAGTGCACGGCAGTTTGCTGCACATGCAAATTCCTCCACATTCCACCTTTTTTTATTTTATTAATGAAGACATTTTAAGCAGGAGTAGTTAGTGGGTCTTAGCTTAGTATGGAAGATTGCAAGACATCTTATTAAGTAAAGAAAAAAGACATTGAAATAAACAACAACAGCTGATAAGGATAGCAACTATTATAATGAGATATTGAACAATCTTTCCAAGAAGGCCAATGGGAAGCCATGACCATAGAGCACTCCACCAATTTCCTAAGGTATCAATTTTTAAATCAGAAGCCAAGTTATGTAAAACATTAATTTGCTTTTGAATAATGCCAGATTGCTCAGAAATATTGAAATAACACAAAAAACTGAAGCTGGGACACACACAGGTATAAGACAGGTAGAGAGTAAATTTTCCATGTCATATGATTCAGAAATACAAAAGTCTGTCACTTGTGTTACATTAGCTAATTGCACCCAGATATTATATTTCATCCGTGATTCTAAAGGATGAGATGGAAGAACTTGAGCCCCCACACAGCAATTAAGAAGGAAAGAGAGGCAAAGAATGACTAAGGAATTTGCAGTCAAAACCACAAATATGGCAGTGCATAAGTTCTCTGGTGTAGGTTCTTTTTCCTGTTGCCTCAGAACCTCCTGCGCTTTGGATGTCAGGTTCTTCACATTGTCCCAGGTTGTTGGTCAATTGCGATGGCAAGAGTGAAAGGGATGTTGTGCT